CACACACACACACACACACACACACACACACACACACACACACACACCGTGTTCCCCTGCACCTGATGGAAACAGATGCAGAGACCCACAAGCTTAGTAATTCTTTTCACAGAACAAAGGAAGCGACATTATGAAGGAAAGTATTGTTAACTATAGGAGAGAGTCATCCATGATTCCCCTGTCAAGTTTATATTCTCCAGTAAGCCTGGGATTTCATCTTGAAATAAATTCATGGTGCTATTAAAAAAAAATATCTTCTGTGTTTAGATCCATCTAAAACCAAATTTCTAAAGGTTTTAATTTGTCTTTGTTGTTGTCTTTCTACTGTCTGTCCTGAGCTGTGCTCCAAAGCCTGGTCAAGCTTTGTTTGTGCCTACATATGAGACAGAGCTTCAAAATCACAAGAGGAACTGCACATATTCTCATTCCTGGATTGTGCTAAATGTGGCCTATTCTATGCTCAGTCTTTGTATCGTTAAGCTAAAGCCAGCAAACAAGGAATCATCACCTAGAATTTTCAATTATTGAAGTACTGCTCAATTATTTTAATACTGCTCATGTTTAAAAATCATAGGATCTCATATATCAATTCACAAAATTGAGTAAACACAGTGTGTATGAATAAATTATATGATAACTATAGCACATGTACAGACCAAATGTTGGTTGGAAGGGTTTAGGAAGCTTCACTTCAGAAATAGTTTCACAGAATGTGAGAGATGGGTGATGAGTATTATATTCCCTCCTCTTAAGTAAAAGAAGTCTTCTAGCAAATGTTTTTTCCCTGAATAAGGACTCTACATTTAGGGTTGTCACCAAATGAGAAAGAATAATTAACAAGCAAGAGACCTGGTGTGGTTGCCACTTGGCACAGCCATGATTAAGAAGAAACTGGCATCACTGAGAAATCTTTCACGAAATGTGTTCTCAGGGTCTTTCTATGGGACCAGAGAAGAACCACACTGCCTTGTTCTGTTAGTGGAACTTGGCAGCATGTAATAGTGTCCTTGGGGGTATTGCTTTTGAAGGCATGAAAGGACCATGGAGAGCAGCTGAGGCTTCACTCTGTAAAAGGCGTGTGGAAGCCACTGATGAGGGTCTGACTCTGCTGCAGAAGAATCCACAGGATTGAAAGGGCTTTGGAGAGACACTGAGGCTCGACACCATGTGGCAAGATGAGAGTCGCTGAAGAGAGAGAAGAGGGTATCGGTTCAGCCAAGTTGCAGTGCAGCCACCAGCATTTTGGGCATGGCAGTTTAACGTGGAGTGGCACTGGCTTGAGCCATAAGTTACTGTGTGTGCTGTGAATGGCAGAGCCAGAGAGGTGAAACTGCTCATGCCCTTCAGAGCCCAGAAGATTGCACGACCCAGCTGTCAAGCAACAAGTCACACTGTTGAAGTTTGGCTTTTCTTTGATTTGATTGTGACTATGCTCTTTATTAATGTAGTTTTTCTTTTTAAAAAACTTTTTTGGGGAAGGAGGCTTGAGACAGGGTTTCTCTTGTGTAGCTTTGGCTGCCCTGGACTCCCTTTGTAGAGCAGGCTGGCCTCAAACTCACAGAAAGCCTCCTGTCTTTGCCATCCAGAGTGCTGGGATTATAGGCCTGAGCCACCATGCCCAGCTTTTTACTTTTTAACCAGTGAAAAACAAACCAACAACAACAACAACAAAAAATGATCCAAATGACGGCAGTATACACACACCTTTCAGTAAGGACCACAAATATTAATGGCCTCAAGCCTACATTCAAAATAAACACAAGATCTCTGAATGGGTTAAAAAAGCAAAGTCCATCTGTCACTTGTCTATAATAAATTCATCTTGGCTTTAAAGATAGGCCCATACTAACACGAGAGGATAAGAAAAAGCTCTCCAGGAAAATAGGCCCAAGAAGCAAGCAGGTGTTGCCATATTAATATCTCACAAAATCAACCTCAAATTAGAACTAATTTGACTAAGAGACAAAGACGTGCACTTCAAATAAAGTGGTCGATTAATTATAGGCACACAAATATGTGGCCTTGTGGGAGAAAGCCGGCTACTGAGGATGGACTTTGGGGTGTCAAAAACTCAAACCAGTCTCATTATTGCTTTCTCTTCCTGCTGCCTGTGGATCCAAATATAGAATTAGGAGTGAGAGTTGTATATATACATATATGTATATATGTACATACATACATATGTCCATATGCCTATATACACATATATATGTATGTATATACATGCATATATATTGTATATATGTATTTATATATCATACACCTACACATATATGCGCCAAATTCTGGTGCATCTAATTTCATAAAAATCACACTAATGGAATTAAAGACATAATAATAATACAAATCCAATGATTTGTCAGTAATTTCAACACTATGCTTTCTCCAACTGACAGATTATCTAGACAGAGACAGAGAAATCTCAGACTTAGATGATATCTTACATCAAATGGACCTAACGTATATATCTATAGAAATTCTACCTATCTTAGTCAATGTTCTATTGCTGTAAAGAGACATCTTGACCATGGCAACTCTTATAAAGAAAAGCACTTAGTTGGGGCTGGCTTACACCTTCAAAGGTTTAGTCCATTATCATCATGGTGGCATATAGGCAGACACAGTGCTTCAGAGGTAGCTGAGACTTCTCCATTTGGATCCACAGGCAACAGAAAGAGAAAGCAATAATGGGCCTGATTTGAGCATTTGACACCCCAAAGTCTATCCTCACTTTCTTCAGCAAGGCCACGTGTCCCAATTCCTTCAAATAATGCCACTTGTATGCTCCTATAGAGGAGCATTTTCATTCAAATCACCACATTCCGTTCTCTGTCCCCGAGAATCTTCCATACCATAATGTAAAGAGCATTTGGTCCAATGTCAAAAGTCCCTGTAGTCTATCCTAGTTTGACCACTGTTTAAAAGACAACAGTTCTAGTTAGAGGATGGCCTCTTCAGTCTCTCTAGTCTTTCCTACTAGTAGTCTCTGCTTTAATCCCCCTCATA